CACTGAAATGCTTGGATTGAAGGCATGCACCACTGTGCTGGCCTTGTTTTACATTTTTAACAGGAAAATTTAGTCTTTATTTATTTAAAAGATCTCCCATAGCCCTGCCTGAATTCCTGATACTCCTCTCTTTCTAGTGCTAGGATTAAAAGTATGTGCCAGCAATTCAATGTATGAAATACTAAACAAAGTAAATGCGGGAAGTGGTACACACTTGCAATCCCCACAGCTGGTACACAGCAGGAGAAGCCAACAAGATCTTGACTCAAAAGCAACCAGGATCAAACCTATTACTTTGTACACTGTGCCATTATTTTCTATACTAAGCTGATTTTAAAAGTTAGATACATCGTGCTAACTTTCTATCATCGTTGCAAAGTACCTGGAAAACAGCCAGAGAGATGTTTCAGCTATTAAGAACCCTGTTCTTCCAGGGCTAGAGAGGTGTCTCAGTGGTTGAGAGCACTGGCTGCTCTTCCAGAGGTCCTGAATTTAATTCACATCAACCGTGTGGTGGTTCACAACCATCTATGAGATCTGGTGCTCTCTTCTGGCCTGCAGGCATACATGCAGTCCAGAACACTGTATACATAATTTTTTAAAAAAAATTGCTCTTCCGAAGGCCCCAGGTTTGAATCTCAGCACTCACATGACGCCTAACAGCTGTGTATAACTCCAGTTCCAGGGGATCTGACATCCTCTTCAGGCACCAAGCATGTACATAGACATACATGCAGACAAAACACACACATAGAAAAAAGTGAGAATGTCAACTTGAGCTGGGCGGTGGTGGCGCACACCTTTAATCCCAGCACTTGGGAGGCAGAGCCAGGCGGATTTCTGAGTTCGAGGCCAGCCTGGTCTACAGAGTGAGTTCCAGGACAGCCGGGACTACACAGAGAAACCGTGTCTTGAAAAACAAAAAAAAACAAAAAAAAGGAGAGAGAATGTCAACTTGAAGATATGGGCAAAGCTTCAAACTACCATGTCCACCGTCAGTCAGACCCATTGCTTGTGCACTGTGGTAATCTGAATAAGATGTCCCCTCCAGTCTCTTGCCATTTCAATGCTTGGTCCCCAGTTGGTGGCTCTATGGTAAGGCACTGGAGTGATCTTGTTGGAAGAAGTATGTCACTGAGTGTTTTAAAAGCTTCAAGGCAGCCCCCGCTTCGTTTGCCGTTTTGGCTTCTGCTTGGAGATGTGTGCTCCAGCTGGTTCCTGCCACCACGCGTGGTATCTGCTACCCATCTTGTCTTCTTATGGCAGTAGACTCTTGATCCCTCTGGAACCTGAAGCCCAGATAAACCCTTCTATAGATTCCCTGGGTGGTGGTGTTTTATTACAGCAGAAAAGTACAGGGGCAAATGTTCAGAAAATGTACATTTTCATTTTCAGTGTTTACTCATCCTGAGTCCAAGTGCTGCCAACCTCCGTATTTGTTTATATTCTTTGCCATACTTACTTCCTGGGACAGCAAGACAGAATCAAAAGACCAGTTATGATTCTGTGTGCCTGGCTCCCGATCACAAATACGCCTTAAAACCTGGAGATGGCCATGGGCTTCCTGCAAATGTCTACCTTGGGCCAGGAAGTTCTCACTGAGCAGGCTCCCAATGCCCAAGCAGAGGCAAGCTCTCCTCATGGCCATGGTTTCTTTCCCAGTTGACTCCTGTGTTAACAACAGAACCATGTCCAATTCTTTCTTGGCTACTGTCCTCCCGGCAGAACTGTCTTACCTGTCAAAGCATAATGCTTAAACATCAGGAACACAGCTGCAGACTGCTGTGAATAGGAAAAACACTACCTGCTCTAAATGTCTCTCGTGTTCTGCCCCACTGTCCTAAGTGGGGCCTGATAACTGAACGTCCTACAGATACGCACCTTGCCTTTTCCCTGCAGAGCAAAGGATTAGGTAATGTTCCTAAATTGTCCAGATTCTCTTCAGAATGACTCTTGCTTGAATCCCTGTTTCAAAAGCTTCCTTTGGGGCTAGAGAGAGAGCTCAGTGGTTGAGAGCACTGACAGCTCTTCCAGAGGTCCTGAGTTCAATTCCCAGCAACTACATGGTGGCTCACAACATCAATGATGGGATCCAATGCCCTCTTCTGGTGTGTCTGAAGACAGCTACAGTGTACTCATATACGATCTATCGATAGATAGATAGATAGACAGACAGACAGACAAGAAACTGAGGAGGGACTTGCCATCAACACTCAGCAAAACCATGGAGCCTGTTTCAAGCCGGCTCAGTATGTGTAGCTCTGTAGCCATCAGAGGAGTTTTCACTTATGTGGTAGACATTGTATCTGTGAGTGGATGCCACAAGCATGCTGCAGTGCCAGTGAAGGACAGAACAGATCCCTTGGAACTCTGGACATGAGTGACACAAGAAGGACCTTCCAAAAGAGTAGCAAGTGTTCTTGTCTGATGAGCACACTCTCCAGCACATTAGATTTTTAGATTCCAAGCTTTATTTTGGTGGGTACGGTGGCACGTTTAACCCTAATGCTACAGAAGCAGGGGCAGGCAGAGTTCAAAGCCAGCCAGAGCTACATACTGAGACTCAAAAAGAAATGTAAGTATGAGTGGGCCCACCACACCTGTACCCTAAGCCCTTAGTCATTAGCTGCCACACAGGTGCCAGCTGATCCTGGATCCTCAGAGTGAGTGCTCTTAGCTGTTGTGCCATCTCTCTAGCACTGTTCCTAAGGTGTTTCTGTGGTATACATGTGGGTGCACAGACCTCGACGACCAGCAGCTGCTGTTGGATGCCCCACCCCTATCATTTTTTGTGTGTGTGTACACACATGCGACAAGGAAACTGGCAGTTGGGGGACAGACTGCAAGCAATGAGTTCTTACCATGTTGAGTCAGTCCTGGCATCTAACTCGGACCGTTGTGCTTGGCAGCAGTAGCCCTTAGAAATTATGCAACTATAGCTTAATTTCTCATACAGCTCTACCCTGGGCATACTCAGCTTTGTATGCTGTGCAGAATCCACATCTTCGGCAAGGCAACCCAAAACCTAAGCAAGTGTCCCTGTGTGACTCCCCCAACCCCCACACCTGCTCCCTCTTGCCACCTTAGGGACCAGTAATTGCTGCTAGTGCTTTCTTTCCTGCTTGCTGGAAGTTTCCTTATTAGAGAGCTTGCCAAGTACCACGGACAGAGCACAACATGGCGGCTGAGATCCTGACAGTCCTGGTCACATTAGATACATAGAAAATGGGAGATGGAAAAATCCAAAGAAGACTCCACTAAGAGCCAGGACTGAGTTGGCATCGTGTCTAACCCCTGCTGCAGCCTCCTGACTACTGAGAAGACAGGTAGGCAGCACCTTGCCCTACAGAATCTGAGACTGTTACTCATCTGTTCACCTGGAACTCAGAAAGTACCCAACTGTGTGTGTGCTTGGCTTGTTTAAATGACTGGTTCTACTTTTGTAGCACACAACCAGCTTCTTGTCCCTTGTAACTTGCACTAAGGAAAAAAAAGAAGTCATTGTATTTTATTGTTAATAAGGAGTCATTCAGGAGGTCATGAATTCATCCCTAATATAATAACCCTTCTTTCTCATGCTGTCGGGTCTCAGATTACTGACTGGACTGAGATAAATGCCATCATTTTTCCCCATCAGTGTTTTTCCAACTCTCTCCCCTCTTCGCTACAGACAGCAGCTAGGCCCTCTTTAACATACGACTACACTGTCACATGGAGTCACAACCATCAGACACAGGATGGTAAATACTAAATCCTAACCTTTTCTTTTCAACCCCATTAAAGATCTTAAAATAGCGGTTCAGTGAACACTTGTAACTCATCTTGACTTCGGCAAAGTTTTTCCTAATGGCAATCCATCTGCTCATCTCAGCTACCACAAAAGAAGTGTACTTTGAGGGTAGGCTACTAAACTGAGTGGGTAGGAGCCATTGAGCAAAATGGAATAGTTGAGTTCCTCCCTAGCCTCTACCTCCCCAAAGACAGCACACTTGGAGAAGCCTTGGGATGCTACCCACTGTGATGCTATATATTCCTTGGTGAAGGGGACATGAAGTGACCGAATGGTATAAAGAACTTACCCATGTTTCCTTAGGAAATTCTAAGCTACATAGAATTCAGCCAAAGCAGCCCTGCCTCACAGGCAAGTTCAAAGTCGGTGACAATGGCTGCTCACAGCTGCCCGTTAGGTCCATTCTCTTATCAAATGGAGGATGCTCATCCAAGCAGCTCAGAAGGCTAGGCTGGACAACAGCCACTCATTAAACCCCCGTCTCATCAGTGGTTTTTTTTCTGCCTCCCTGGCAGGATGACTCTGGATAACAGACTCCAGATTAAATATGACAGTATCTATACATTGTAAACTTCCCTCATTTATAAAAAAACAACCAAGTTTGTACTTCCTGTCTCCGTAAAACATGTTTAACTGCACAAACATCTGGGACCTAAAAGACTTGCAGATGAAAGCACACGTAAACAGCAACATTGTAGCTTAAACTTACTTATCATCTCTGTTCAGTATCAGTTCTTTTTTGTTGTTGTTGTTGTTGTTTTTCAAGACAGGGTTTCTCTGTGTAGCCCTGGCTGTCCTGGAACTCACTCTGTAGACCAGGCTGGCCTTGAACTCAGAAATCCACCTGCCTCTGCCTCCCAAGTGCTGGGATTAAAGGCGTGCGCAGGTATCGGTAGCCAGAGCCGGGTTTGCACTATGATTAGGGAGCGCTTCCTTTATTAATCTTGAAATGTTGCCATCTCACTATGACGGTGTAACAATACTGTGGGTGACACTTAACAGCTTGGTGTCATTCCTCACCCCTAGAGCTGCATGCACGTCCATCTTGACAGCTATTAGAAACTTTACACTGCTGGAGACACAGCTGAGTGACGGAGCCCTTGCCTACCAGGAAGATCTGGGTTTGCTCCTCAGAGCAAAAAAAGAAAAAGGACTACGGTACAATATATTCCCAGTGACACCTTTGATACACCAATAATAAGCAAGAGTCTGATAGTTTTTAGAACTTTATTTCAATGTAACTATATGCATAAGAAATACACTCATATTGGTTAATAGAATGCAATTATGTTTAACTTATCCTACACAATCTTGACCAGAAACTTGGTACATGGTTTACAATTTAAAAAAAAAAATAGTAACAAAAAACAAACTGCAATCTGTTTCATCTCTATCTATTACAAATGTATAAAAAAAAAATCCTCCATCAAATGCTGCTGAAGGCAGCGGAACCTTGAGAAATATACCTTTGGTTTGCCTTAGAAAAGTAACACATATTGCACTGTAAAGGTTTATAAAATTGGCGCAAAACATTGTTGTAATGTCACAATACCAGTTTTAAGAGTTCAGTAACTACTGGGAGGCTATGGGGCAGACACAGAACTGGAGAAGCTGTCACACTCAGCCAGCAGTACACTGGAAATCTACACAATCAGATCATTCGGAACTAAGACTATCAGCTCACCTCATGTGCTCAGTCAACCAGGAAACCCTAGATACACCTTGATTTTTTGCAAAAAAAAAAAAAAAAAAAGTTTCCTCAGCATTTCAGCTTACAAGTAACTGCATGCTAACAGCAAGTCATTTCTTCTGTCATCCACATCCAGAGTGAAGCGGATGAGGTGAGCGTGGGCTTTACTTTGCGTTACTTTACATTTGAAGGAGCCATGTCATGACTTTAAAAGTAAAAAAAGCAAAATGACCATTCTTGGAAGACTAAAGAAAGACAATCTGATAAAGTTTAAAAGTCTCACCAAAGTAATGTAGCTTTTTATGAATTACGCCTCAATTAAAAAAAAAAAATAGCCCCAAAATAAAAAGCAGCTCTGAAAAAGAAAATATAACTTAAAATATCTTGAAAAGACAAGGTGAATACAGGTTCAAAAATAATTAGGATACATTTCTCTAAGGCTACCTAGGATTAGGCTGTAAAGAATTCTACCATTTCAAGTTTACCACTAGGTACTAGATACCAATTTACAATTACATTTTTGTGTTCCTTTATCAAGAGAAAAGTCGACCTTCAGACCTTCGGGGTAGTAATGGGGAAGGGATAGACTAGAAAACAAGATTCAAACAATCCCATGCAAGTGTCACAGTTTTCAAATGGAAGAACTCCCAACTGTACTAGAAGTTTCAATCACTAAGATACTTTCCACTGAAATGATTTTAAGTACAAATACATGGCACCAAGGGTCAGGCCTAATATAGGCCTAAGGACTGAGTCCTTGTTTTCTAAAAGAAAGCCCTCAAAAGTCCCACTCAATTTCAGGTAACAACCTTTTTAAAGACTAATTTAATGAGGTTTTCATTTCCCTTGTATTTTTGTGGTTTTTACTTCTACTCTTAAAGACTAGATTAAAACTTAGTCAATCCCCAGAAGGCATTGTTTTCCTTTGCAACAAAGAATCCACAAAGACCTCTTAAGAACAGCCCAGCTCCCAGCTTCCAACGTGTGCTTGCGGGAAGCATCTTTTTCAACATCTTGAAAAGGTAATGTAAGCAAAATCTGCTCATGAACATTAAAACTAGTTGTTAGAAAGACTTAACTAGCTTTATAATTTAAATTTAAAACATAAATACTTGCAGTCTGACCTGCACTACAATGATTGTCGGAGCCTAGAATTCAACATTTACCAAGTCTCATGCACACACAAAAAACACACACCGTTATCACACAACTTGTGTCTTGAGAAAATCTTCTGCTTTTTAAATCTTTGGCCTCCCAGTCAATTCCAACTTAACTAAAACCAACTTTAACTAAAACTTCACTCAGAATCTCACCAAGCTCTTCACCCACACGTTAATGCTTGTAAAGTCTTTCATGAACTGTCAAAATCTGAAGCCTGCTCAGAGATCGCCAGGGTAAAATAAATGAGATACACAGAGGTTATTATTCCATCAAAAAAATGTCACATATCCCTACTGGGATCATACTTAATTTACTACTACCAGTAAGAAAAGTCCATGTTGGGCTCTTTCATCCTCTGGAGAACACAGAGAACCGGTTCTGGAGTACATACAGTTTCTCATAGTGTCCCCAGAAGAACACCAGGACAGGTACAATTCACTTAAGGCCTCTCCTGTACAGAGGCTGTCTCACAGGGACAGCGAGGACACCCACTAGTTTGTGGAGATCCCTGAGAAAATGTGATGCTTAGAATCTGGACTGTACTTAGTCAACATCAGCCTTCTCAGTACTCACTGGAAGCAGCAGCAGCTGCTGGCTGGAACACAGCACTTTCAACTAGACTAGTCATGTGACCACAATGGCTTTCTCACAACGGATAGTCTACAGTCTGAAGGACAATTACATCTCACGGCAGGTTTGCTGCTTCCAAGTACCACTTGGAGTTCTCTACTCAGTAGAGTAGCCACCCCACCATCAACCATCTACTGAAGCTAACTCCTCAAAGGAAGATCACTCGGTAATAAGCCAGAAACAGCAAAGTAACTCGGCTGGCTGATTTTTGAGACAAATTTTGTTCAATACGCATTTAGTGGCTTACTGAAAAAAAAATCAGACTGGAAAGCTGTGGAATTACACATATCCTCACCATTCAAAATAACTTATATGCAACTAATTCCGGCATAGGTAAGAGGTGAAATTTAAAATAAAAAATAATAATAAAGCAAAACAAAAACCCAAACAATGGATTGAACCTGCATGTTCCATTGCTTATAAACTTGCACACACTGTTGTTCTGCAAAAAAAAGACTATTGCAGCAAAGAAAAGGAAAATGGCTCTTTGCAAACAAGCCTAAAAGTATCCCTCCAAAAAGGGAAAAAAACAAAAAGCATGCATATATACCTACAGAGTGTTCCTATTTACACACCCCTGTTTTTTTTTGGGGGGGGGGAGATTAACTGCATAGGTTAAAGAAACAAGAACCATGTGCAACATCTTAAGCCAGAAAAGCACCAAAATAAAAAATACCAAAAATCACTTTTTATAACGATTAACATATAAACACAAAATATTGATAGCAAGCTAGGAAGCAATTACCTGGACAGATACAATGTCCAATGTTGAGAATTTCTCTCCAATTTAAATCTCTTTTTTCATCTCTAAAGAAACTGTAAAGTGCTAACTTTATTTATATAAAGCAGGCAAATTCAAGTAATTTACTAAGCCAATTTTTATCAATCTAAAGAAGGAACTAAAAATTAGGAACTACAGTAAAAAGAACAGAAAACCTGACAGGTTGTAGCAGACGACGCAAGTGGCCTGTTCCACCATCTTAGCCTTCTCCTTTCGCCTGACTGCATGAGCTAGTTTCGTATCTGTTTTCTTACATTAACTCCCTAGGATGTGCTAAGATTTATGCAACAACCACTAAATAGATGGACAAGCCTAAGAAAAACAATGTTTTTACTGAAAACTCAGCACTGGAGACTAATTAAAGCAAGCTTGCGTTTGTCTACAGTCAAATGAAAATTAGAGGCATGCTTACAAAGTCCACACTGTGCTTCTCCTGAGGCTCAGCTACTCCTGCTCCTCCTGCTCGTCCTGCTCCTCAGCTGCTTCTTCAAGGAAGTACACATTCACCAAATGGCGGTTGAGGTGTTTGCTGTAATCTTTTTCCTTTCTAAAAGAACGATCACAGAAAATACAAACAAACTCTCCCTCAGTTACCTTAACAGCCAACCCTGCCTTTCCATTTTTTGATGTAGTTTCTTGTGGCGCCCGCCGAGCCCCGTGCAATCCTGAGTCATCACTCCCCTCTGACATGTTGTCGCTCAGGTCGCTTCCATCATGGCTGTGGATACCTTCATCTTCATCAATTTCCTGAGACTCGTTCTCAGCCAAAGTGATAGGAGGGGAAGCCATTACGGCCGGTGACGCTGCTCCACAGTCCACTGTTGGGGTGAGAGGTGACACTGGCTCTACTAAGTCTTTCACGGGGACACTGTCTGTCTTCTGCTCAGTGTCCACTTCCATTTCACAGGCCCCAGTGGAGCCAGTCTGACCCTTGCTGTGCAACGTTTCACCATCTAGCACATCTGGGTTTTGTTCAGAGGATGAAGCACTGGTAGACACCTTGGGAGCAGCAAGCTCGGCTAGACTCTCGCCGGCTTCCTCTGTCCCTACTTTCTTGAAAGGGGCTACTTTATTTCCTTCCCCTTCAGAGACCATGTCCTGGTCCTGGGGTATCTCGTCTCTTGCGTTTCCCTTTGGCGGTGGTGACCGCGGGGCTGGGAGGTCCTGTGCACTCTTGCTTTCCCTCAGAAGCTTGCTGTCTCTCACAGGCACTAGGCCGACTTCAATAAGGACCTGCTCCTGCCGCGCCATCTCACTCAGCATGCTCCACTTCTCCTTTGCACTGTCTTTTCGGGGAGACGACCTTTTGGTTGGCTTGACTTGAGGTGGCTCCGAGACAGGAGGGGACTCCTCCTGAACAGATCCCATCTGAGTAGGAACTGTCTGAGCAGCCTTTGTCTGAGCATGCTCCATAGAAGGCAGCTCTTTCTGACAATCCTCCATAGGCGGTGGCTCCACCTGAGGTGGCTCCACGGGAGGGGGAGGCTCCATATCGGGAGGTGGTTCCATCTGAGAAGGCTCCATATTGGGAGGTGGTTCCATCTGGGAAGGCTCCATATTGGGAGGTGGTTCCATCTGAGAAGGCTCCATATTGGGAGGTGGTTCCATCTGGGAAGGCTCCACGGGAGGAGGCGGCTCCATTTCAGCAAGCTCCATGGGAGCGGGAGGCTCCCTCTGGGGAGACTCCTGGCAGGAAGGTGGGTCTACCTGGGGAGGCTCCACAGGAGGAGATGGCTCCATGTGAGCAGGCTCCCCGGGAAGAGGCTGTTCCACCTGAGGACGCCCTGTCTGGAAAACCTCAATCTGGGCAGGCTCTGTCTCAGCAATATCCATGGGAGAAGGAAGCCCTGTCTGAGTAGATTCTGACAGGGTGACCACTGCCTGAGAGGGTGCAGGAACTGAAGACACCCCAACTTGAGCCAACTCAGAGGAAAGAGGTTCTGTCTGCCCCACCCCATTCCGAGCAAGTTTGCCACCCTTTTTACTTGTCTTAGTCTTGAGCGGTGTCTTCTTTGCACCTTTCTTAACAGAAGTGCTTGGCTTTTTGTCCCCCTTTCTCTCCTCCACTTTGCTGCCTCCCTTTGGCACTTCGGTACTGTTTTTGGATTTGTTCTCTGTCTTTTTCTTTTTTGTCACTGGTCCCTCATTCACAGGCTCATCTGAGGAATGGGCCTCGGCATCCATCTTTCTTTTGTTTTTCTTGGCTTTACAGGACTTTTCTGGGTTGTTTCCTGTTTGTCCATCTGGGTGTTTCACCTCTGCTGCTTTAGTCTCTGCTGCTGACTTCCGAGTTCTAGTAGTTATCTGGACCACCGAGTCATTGCTACAAGGCTTCTTCTCTTTTGAAACATCTTTCCCCACGATTTTCATGGGTTTCTCATTTTTCTTCCCAGACACATCGCCCTTTGTTTTTGTTTGTTCAGTCTCTGTCTTCTCGGTGACAGTGTTAAGCAGGTCAGCCTCCCTCTTTTTGGTTTTCTTTAGCTTCACTTTGGAGACGTCCATCGTTTTGCTGGGACAGGTGGGATGCTTAGATTTGAAATGATACTGTAGGTTACACTTCTTGGAAGCTGCGTAGTCACACACGGGGCAGTTGAACTGCCGTGGGTTAACATGCAGCTCGACATGTTTTTTGAAGTTGCTTCTATCTGCTGTTTTGTAGTCACAGTGAGGGCAATTAAGAGGTTTCGGCCCGTTGTGAACCTGTCTTGCATGTCGGGTCACTTCATGCTGATTAGAGGCCACATAATTGCACTGATCACATTTAAATGGCTTCTCACCTAATGGTAAAGAAGAGATGTCAGAAGTGAAAGACACAAGTCAACATTAAAACATCCTCAGGAGTCATGAACGTAAACTAGCCACCAAGAGCACTCGCTGGAAAGACTCCATCATGCAACTTATACTCCCATATTTATTTGTATAACTTTTCTCTATCTGGGATGGAGGCTTGAGTTTCAAAATCAATTGGAAGAATAATCAACACTATCTTCACAACAGTTTACAGAGTCAGCTCTTTGGCTCTACTACAGACCAGGCTCCAAGGGGAAGCAGAAGGGCTGGTGGCCAGAGAGCCCCTGATGCTGACTGTGGGACAAAGCCACTCAGAGAGAAAAATGCTTTTGCTTTTTTGTTCCTCACCCTCTAGTATTCTCTTAACCAAAAGCAGAATGTAACACAATAGAACACACTTGGTGTCTGTAAGGTGACCCTGGGAGTGGAGTTTTGGTCACAGGCTAGGTCTGTTTTAAGGCTCTGCCTTGGCTAGAGCGAATAAGTCTAACCTTCACCTATCACCTCAAGGTGAGCAAAGCTGCACAAGGCAAGCTTCTCTAATAGCAGAGTGACGATTTTAAAGATAAAAAAACAAGGCTGAAGTCAACTAGAAAACTGTATCATTTTTTTTCAATCTCAACTTCTCTATAAAAAAAAAAGAGCAAAGACACTAACTAAATTTGAGTGGTTGCATACAAATAGATACGGTGTGTAACACAAGCAGACAGCCACAATCACAGACACAAATAAAACCAGGCCCCACCCACCCAAAATTAAAAGCATTAAAAAAATTCTACCTGAATACATACCCAACTAGATCACACTCTAGTAAATATTACCAATTGGTATCCATACCCCACGGGTCCAATGGAAAGCATAGTAGAGAAATGGAAATTGACATTGATGAAAATTAATCTTTCAAACATCTTCATTATTATCCAAGTTTTCCATAAGCAAAATTAGACATAAAGCTTAACTATGGCGACATTATAGATTACACCATTAGAAATGTCTGTTGAAAGAATTCCTACGCCCCCTCAAAGCCTATTCAGGTGTATCAAATTAGGTAAGCAGGTACACCAAACAAATTCTTGCCATGTTAAATTAAGAGTTTCAGCTAAGCGGTACTTGTAATCCCTACAATCCCTGCTACTCAAGAGGCTGGGACAAGAGGACCACTGGATTGAAGGCCAATATAGGCACAGTAACAAGAGCCTCTCAAAATGTGGAGGGGGAAAAACAGGCCTAAGAATCTAAGTCAGCGGGAAGCGCCGGCCTGGTGAGCACAGGGCCCTAGACTTGACTGAGTCTGCAGAAAGGTGTGGCTGGTTTCCACAGCACACGCATCCCTCCACACTGGCTACAGAGTCCTTGGCAGTAAGGCTCTAAATACAAACAAACATTTGCTTAACATATATAGACAGACTGGATGCAGACTGGTGGCCTAGAGGTTAAACGTCATCTCTACAGTTAAAACAAACTCTCAGGAAAAGCAACTGCAATCTACAACTGCTTCTTCTGAGACCTCGAGGAAGACAGAGTCTTGCAAGCAGTCATCTGATGAATGTGAACGAGGTAACAAAGGAAGCTGGCAGTGTGCAGGGCCTGTAAGTGCTCACTGAAAAAGTCTGGGCAAAAGACAGTGCAGGCCAGGCCTGGTGGTACCTGTCTAGCACACTGTCAGTCAGTCTGGGGTCACTTCCTTTCTTCAAGGTCACTTTTAGGTACATTAAAAGAGGCCAGCCTGAGACTATCTCCAAAACAAAACACCAAGCCTTAGCTCCAATCCTCAGGCCCACGTGAAACCCAGCAGGGTGGCACACACCTGTAATGCCAGCACTCTTCAACACAGTTCTTTAAAAAAAATAAAAATGGAGACGGCAGATGGCCCCTTGGGTAAGCTACTTCTCGCCAAGCTTCAGAGCTTGGTGGACAAGGCTCACAGTGGAGGCAGAGCTGTCCCAATACACAAGGACAGCTCTATACACAAGCGTGGAAGCACAGCCACACATACACAATCAATTAAATTTGATTTTAAAATTTGGTACTGCAGTTCCAGGACGGCCAGACCTACACAAAGAAAGCCTGTCTTGAAAAAAATAAGTAGTGTAAATCTGATCAAGAGCCAGTCCCTGGGGAGGTCATAGGCCCTAGGTGTGTGCATCCTTCTATTGTTTTATGTAATAGTCATGTCGCAAACTGCCTTCTTAATATTAGTATCTATATCTATAGAGTTAGCCAAGATTCTTACTGCAGCTGCAGAGGTTAATTCAGAGACTTACATCTGGCCAGAGTATGATGATGACACACTGGGCCCTAAATAAGACATCTATGTTACACAATCCAAAGCTCAGAGAACATCACAGAAAGGGGGAAAGATGGAATGTTGGTAAAAATCGGGAATGAAATCCTAACTTCTCATTTTGAGAGACTCAAAGGTAAGAAGGTAATCACGGTCTTCAGGGACAGGTTCCTGATTCTCTCAAGCAGCAAGCAGTTAGCACACATGCCCTACAGACTGTGTGTTCTGAATCTGCATAGAGATCAAGTCAGTCACAGCCAAAAAGGCTCTGGCCTCAAGAGATGCCAGGCTAACCTTCATTTATTTTTAGTCCCTTAGATCTTAAGGCTACCCTCACCACGCTGCCTGCGATCGTTCAGTATTATGGCTTAGGCCGGCTTGAGTTTTCAACCCTCTTCCTGCCTCGACCCTCAAGCGGCAGGCTACAGTGCACCAGCATGTCGGCACCATTTGAGTTTCTATCTATGTATGTTTGTGATGGGGCAATAGGATAGGGCAGGTCAGATAGGGAGGTCAGAGCCAACCTGACAGGAGTTGGTTCTTTCCCCTACCACGTGGGTCTGGGGAACTGAACTTGACAGCAAGCATCCTTTGTTAAGCCACGTAGAAAGCATCGTTATATACTTATATACTTTTTTAAAGATTTACTTATTATTTGTATGGGGGGGGGTTCCTGCATAAGTTTCTATACATCAGGCACACGAAGATGCCCCCAGATGTAAGCTTAAATTTTTTGCAGTCTACTTTTATTAAGAGTTCCACCTCTGCTCTAGCCCACCTCCCAGCCACGGTGGTGGAAAAGAGACGTTATCAGGATGTGGGGGAAGTGGACCTGTTCAGCAGTAGTTCTTTGGGGGCGAGCTAAATCTCTGATAGCAGTCCAGACCTCTAGCAAACACCAAATACAACTTCTCAGCAGCTCCAGACCAGAACACACGAACCACCATGAACCAGCAGCTGCTGCCCAGTCCTGAAGGAACCGTCAGGCTCCAAGCGGCCAAGTGAGGCCTCGAAGTCAGCAAGCTGCCTCCGAACTTCATGAACAGTTCTCAGGTAAGCTTCCCTCACTGGGAGCATTTGGAGCAAACCAATGCTCAGTCTCCCACAGCTGTGGGGTCACATCCATCACTCCTAGGTCAGAAGGCATCAGGTTCCCTGAAAACGCAACTGTAGGCAATCATGAGCTACCTTACCGGAGTGCTGGAAACTGAACACAAGCCCTCTACAAGAACAGTTAAGGCCTCCTGTGCTGAAGCGTCTATCCACCACCCACCCACCCCCAATCTTCCTTCTATGTCCTGAGAACAGGGACCACTGGGAGCACTGACTGAGACTATCCCAGCCGCCATATGACTGTGAACTTGTTAAGTCAGTGAACTGGATCACTTTCTTTACATTTCTTTTGCACGCTGGTCCCCCAGTGCCACTGAACTGGGTACTAGTTCACGACTAGCCCTGGCAACTGGGAGGTGAAGGCAGGGGGTGAAGAGTTTAAAGACATCTTCAGCTATGTATGAAGATAAGAGAATCCAAAGTTTAAGTTCATCTTCAACCTGGGCTACATGAGACCACGTAGAAGAGACAGGAGGGAAGGGGGAGGGGAAGGGAAGGGACCAGCCAGTTATGCTGGCACAAGTAAGTCTTTATTAAAAGCAATAAGGAAACTGAGGTGGGAAGAGAATAAGGGAAGCTTATGTACCATGCGTAATCCATTGTTTCTGTGCGTATGAGGTCTTTTGCCTGAATGTGTCTGTGCACCATACCCATGCAGTACCTACATGGGCCAGAAGGGGCTTCAGATCCCCTGGAACCAGAGTTAAAGATAAACTGTGAATCGCCACTCGGTGCTGCAAATCAAACCCTAGTACTCTGGAAAAGCAACGGACTAATGAGAAATCACTCCAGCCCTAGATAATCATTTTATCACACACACACAATCCAAAAACAATGGGATAAATTCACCTGTGGACTGTGTAGAACTCTCCCAGTTCTAACAAATATTAGGAACCCTTAGGCTGAAGAGATTGCTCAGAAGTTAAGATCTTGCAGAGGACCCAAGTTTAGTTCCCAGCTCGCACGTAATGTCTCCTAACCATCTGTAAACATCTGTAAACAGTTCCCAGGAGATCTGTCACCCTTTTCTGGCCTTCACAGGAACTGCAGCCACATGGTGCACTTACAGGCAAAATACTCACACACTATTAATAAAACTTCAAAAAGAAAAAAAGCCCTCCCAGAAAAGCATGCAAATAAATTCACATCTCTTTTGTTCTAGAGTCTGATCTAAGAGAACGCATATTTACCCTTCCCACTTCCATTATGGCTTTGCTTTTTTAAGGCAGGTCCTGCCTGGCAGAGTGGCACAGGCTTTTAACCATAACACTTCCAGGCAGGGCCAGGTGAATCCAGACAGCAGAGAGGGAAAGGAAAAAAAACAACAACAACAAACCTCCAAAACCAGTAAATCATAAACAACTCAACTTCAGTTCTACAAGAAATTCTTTATAAAGGTAGTTTTCAACAGTGAAATAAAAATGACAATTTCCTGAACTGTTGGCTGTCACCATCTCTTACCAACCTGAATGAGTGCGCATGTGTCGAGTTAGATGAGTCTTCTGAGAACTTGAGTAAGGACAAAGTTCACATTTATAAGGGCGTTCCCCTGCAAAATTAAAATGACAGTGTCAAACATGCTTAATATGTAAAAATAAACCAACAACAATTCTCAGCAGTGTTAACTATCCCCCCCACACACACGTAGGCATTTGAGTGTTTGGAGGATGGTCTGCCTAGGTTTTATTTTGGTTTTTGGAACAGATTCTCCTAGGTAGTCCAGGCTTGCCAAAACACTCCATCCTCCTGTCTCTGCTTGAATACAGGTTTATGTATCTTCAGCTGACTTCCATTTTTTATTTTGAGACAGGGTCTAAAGTGTGCAACAAGCAATGACCTTGTGATCATACTGTCTCAGACTCCTAGTATATACATGGAGGGTCACAGGCGTGTGCCCTGACCAGCAGGTACAGCCCTGGACTGACCCTCCTCCCTTAGCCCCCACCCCACCCCCAGAGCTAGGACTATAAGGTAGGTATGCCACCATAACCATAGCTCAGCAACACTGAGCAAAGTGATTCCTCTCCCATTACTGGCAGAATCAGTCATTTTGTAAGTTTAAACTAGATCTGAGTGGTAGTACACCCCCCGCAAATCCACACACTTGGGTGGGGTGGGGTGGGGGGGAATCTGGAGACATTCTCAGCTAAGAGCTATTATGCAGCACGACCCAAGGGAGAGTTGAAAACAGTGTCAGGGCCAGTGAGATGACTCAGTTAAAAGCAACTTCTGCTCATGCAAAGAATTACAGCTCAGTGCCCAGAAGTCACAATATAGCTCAACCACCCATGATATCAGTTCCAGTCTGATGCCCTCTTCTGGCTTCCTAGGGCACCAGACACCCAGATGTTTCTTCTACGCTAGAATGTCAAGGATAACAGCCGTGACCATACAACACCCTGCATCTCAAGGAGTTACCTTTACATACACAGAATAATAAAACACAGAATGATGTACCGTTAGACAGTGTACAGAGACCAGCTGAGGGCACCAGGGACGAAGCACTAACAAAAGCATTTTATCTGGAGACAGGGCTCAGTCACCCAGGTGGCCTCTCATTCATTCTGAGGCCAAGACAGGCCTTGATCTCATCATCTGCCGGCCTCGCTTCATTTACAGGCCTGCACCCCCAGCCCAGCTGCGCTAAGAACACGCAGGGATGTCAAGGCTGCCAGCAGGCAAAACTGGCACTGGGCCTTGCCAAACATGTCAACCTGAGTTCCACATTAATGAAAGATGACTTGAGTTCCACGACTCAAAGACGGAAGGAACTGACAGATATTAATGCCCAAAGTGCAGAAACAACCCGAACACTCAAACACATGACAGAGAGATGCATCACTACATTCCTACACTCAGAAATGAAGAAAATAGTCTGGAGACGTAGCTCAGCAGCAGAGCATGTTCAGAAGACTGGAAGCTTTGGGTTATCACCAGCTCTGCTTAGAGAGATGGGTGTGGCATCTCCACCTTTAACACCGGATCTCGGGGAGTACCAGGCATATGCAGAGAAACCCTGTATCCTCCCTAACAACAACAACAACAACGGGTAGCTAAAGGCTCAAAGTTATATAATTGAGTGTCACCCCCCCCCCATGTAAAACAATCATTAAAACGAGTGTGCTCACATGATACTCTCAGTACCCAGGAGCTAAAGTAGGAACATCTGGAATTCAAGTTCCACCTGAGGTGTACATCGAGATCCTATTTAAAGGGGGCGGGGCACTGGAGATGACTCAGCAGTTAAAAACACCGTGTCCTTCCAGAGGATGAGTTTGTTGGGTTCCCAATACCCATGTCACTGGCACCTGTAATCTCAGCTCTAAGGGATACTATGTTCTTATGGCCTCCACAGACACCCATACACCTGTAACACACTCACAAAGAAGAAAAATAAAAATGAATCCTTTAAAGGAAGTCGGGGCGGAGGTGAGACAGAGGTCTTCCATTAAGAGAGCTCACAATGCTTCCAAGACCAAATTCAGCTCCTAGCACCCACAGCAGGAGGCTCACAATTGCCTGTAACTATGGCTCCCTGGGTTCCAGCACCCACAGCAGGTGGCTCACAACTGCCGGTAACTCAGGCTCCCTGGGCTCCAACACCTCTGGCCCTAAGGCGCCTGCACTGATAAGCAAGCACTCAAGGAAAAAACTTTTTAAAAGGTGTGCGTAGTGCCACTGTCCTTAAATCCTTAGCACTGGGGAGGCAGAGGCAGGTGGGTCTCTGCAGTTCCCCCCCAGCCTGTTTACACAGCAAGTTCCAGAACAGCTGGGGATACAAAAAGAAACACTGTCTCAAACAAGCTAAAATTATACAAAACAAAGAATGATTCTGTGGGGGAACCCAACACTTTTTCCTTCCTAGGAAATAACACTAGTGTCTCCACTCCCACAGGCTCTTAGTTAAAATCTTTGTTGTTTGGTTGTTTTTCAAAACTGGGCCTTACCATGTAGCTCTTGCTAACACCCCCCCACCCCCCAATAGAGGAGGCCTGCACAGGCTTCTGAAGTGCTAGGATAAGAGTGCAGGCTACTACACTAGCTTAAAATAAAATACTTTAAAAAAAAAAAACTTGGCTTTTTTTCCTATTAGAACTATTCTTCAATCAACAAATGAAATTTATTGTTGAAAATACTTTAGCTCTTTAGTAAGGTTTTTTTTTCCCTTCTTGGGTCTGAGACAGAGCTTCATTGTGAAGCCCAGGTTGACCTTGAACTAACGATCCCCTAGATCCCCTAGCCTCCGCTTCTGGAAAAAAGAGGAACCCACCTCATGCTGTTCTGCAGACCTCTTAAAGGCCTCAGCAACCTAACAGTTCTGAATGTGTATACATACATTCTTGGCTAATAAATAAAATTACTGAGGCACAGTAGTCCTGCAGTGCCCACAGACCCTACATCCTGTCTAGCATGGTCGTAGGAGAACCAGCAGGGCTGTCACAACGAACCACGGTTTTTACAGTGAACCAGTTATTACCTCAATGTCTATTTACTCTCTACCGTTTTTGTTTGTGGCCAGGTCTCATTATGTCATCTGGCTAACTTGCAGCTACATATATAGATAAGGAGACAGACAGACAGACAGACAGACCCTCAAAGTTGCAGCTCCCTACTTGCCTCTGCCTCCAAATGCTGGATTTAATTCTCACCACCACACCAAAGATTTTAAGTTTTTAATTTTTTTTTTTTCAAATTTTTTAGACAGGGTCTTACTATGTATATGTAGGCCTGGCTGACCTGAAAGAAAACTATGTCAAGACCAGGCTGGCTCCAGCTGGGTGGGTGTTGTGATACACACCTTTAACCACAGCACCCCTAAAGCAGAGGCAGGTGGATCTCTGAGTTCCAGGCCAGCCTGGTCTACAGAGAGAATCCAGGACAGCCAGGGCTACACAGAGAAACCCTGTATCAAAAAACTCTTTATTAAAAAAAAAAAAAAAAAAAAACTGGTTTCAAACCTAGGTATCTGTCTGCTTCTGCTGGGATTGAAGCCAGACTGCTTCACCATGTCTGGTTTTGGTTTTTCCTGGGTTCTATGTGTCTATGTGTGGGTCCACACGGGTACCTGCTGAGACCAGGCAGCTCTAAGCCTCGGGTGTTGGGAAATGAATTCAGGTCGTCTACACAAGCAGCACGCTATCATGATCTAAAGTTTAAGGCAAGTTGTTAGAGCATGGAGATTATACAGTATCTGGATAAGACAACATAGGTGACATCAGTTTTAGTCTAACAACTGGCTGGTACAATCTGGTCACCATAGGGTAAGATTCAAGCAGCAATCCCTCCATAAACAGTAGGCTTCAAACCAACAGGCAAAAAAATGTTTCTGAAGAACTGAAATTAATTCAAAATCTAAGCCAGGTGTAGTGACACAAGCCTTTGATCCCAGCACTGGGAGAGGGAGACAAGTGGATTTCTGTGAATTCCAGGACAGCCATGACTATATCATCATAATAAAATACAATCTGAGCTGTTTCTGGCAGTCCTGTCTGTAGCCCTGGCTCTCAGTGTGGAGCACTGCTGTAAGGAACTGCAGAGTTTTCACTGCACAAAGTTTCCAGTCTTATGGAAAAATCGGTCCATTTCAGAATCTAAAGCCTTTTAGCACTTCCCTGCATACGTGTTACACATTAGTGTATCTTTAGAGTGGGCTGGATTAGAATGTTTGCTCTTTAGAACAGCAGACTTAAGTTTGTCTTGTCTTATTTTGTCCCCTGTCACCTGAAACCCTATCCTCCAGTCCACCCTACCCAAGGGAGGGTTCCATTTGTGTAGCCCTGGCTGTCCTGGAATTCACTGGGATTCAAGGTATGTACAAGGTATGCAGAGCCACAAACTTGAATTTAAAAAAAACAATCATTTAACAAAATTTCACTTTGAGACCAGAGCAGAATTTCCAACCATTTCTGAAATTGCCCTAAGAACGCTCCCACCCTTTTGCATGTGTGTGAGTGTACATACATACATACATATGCAAAGCACCATTCTAGGGTTGACAAATACATCAACTCTTGACAGAATGAATCAATTATGATAAACTGCCCTATACTATCAAACATTCAACCAAGAAGTAATTCTTCAAGTAAAACTAAGTATACCCATCTCCCCAGCACATACATTTGCTTGTCTTGCTCATCAGAAGGCTGAGGAGGATAGTGAGTTTAGGCTCGCCAGGGTTTGTGGCTCACACCTGTCTTCCTAGACTTGTTAACAAGAACCTCAAGAAGCAAGAATTCAGCAGTCCCCAGCTACTACTGAAACAAACCCTTGTCTTACAAAACAAGGACGGGAGTGGTGACACAGAACTGTAATCTATGCACTCAGGATCCAAAGGCAAAGTTTGGGGCGGAATGATACACTGAGGGAGATCAGACCAGCCAAGGTCATCCATGAATCTCCAGGATAAGCCTTTCTTAGTAGACTCTGGTCAGGACCTCTGGAAGAACAGCCAGTGCTCTTAACCGCTGAGCCATCTCTCCAACCCCCTTGAAACTTTTCTTTCTGGTCTAAGTCTGAGGAGATGGAACATGAAAGCCTCCTCAGACTTATCAAAACCTGTAGGGATGCTGAGAAAAATGCTTCTTGTCTGAAAAGAAGTTCTCCTAGGTATGCTTGCTTGTTCTCTTAGGAAAACGGCTTCAACTGCCAGTGTCTACTCTGGGCTAGGGATTCCTCAATGGTAATGAACACTGGCTGCTCTTGCAGAAGGCCCAGGGATCAGGTTTCCGCACCCACCTATATGTGACTTCCGGGAAATGCGATGCCCTCTGCTGGCCTCTAGAGGCACTGCACGGAGCAGTCATATACAATCAGGCAAACTACTCATACACGTAAAGTAAACGTGAGAGAATGGCTCGGCTCAGCAGAGACAATATGCTCCTCTGGCAGTGATGAGGACACCCCCGTTTTCCACACTAACTTCATAAACCAAACAAAGCGGCACATACCATGCCTGTAATCCTACTGCTTGCAAAGTGGAAGCAGAAATCTCAGAAATTAAGCACCCTCAGCTACAAGATTCCTGAGTTCAAGGCCAATCTGAGCTACTGGAGCTCCTGCTCAGTCAGAGAAGTGGTGGGGCCTCACGAGGTGGAACACAACTTTAATCCTAGTCGGGGGAGGGGCAGGTGGATGTGAATTTGAGAGCAACCACGAATTTCAGGACAGCCTGAGCTAGAGTCTGTTTCAAAAAAAGGATGGGGATACAAAGTGGTTAATCGGTAAGCTTTCTTTTCTAAGCCCTCAATTCCCTTGGGAAACTGTAGCGGATCTTAGATGTGTTCAGTTTACATAACCTGCAAATTGGGCAGTGGTGGCGCTCGCCTTTAATCCCAGCACATGGGAGGCAGAGGCCAGCCTGGTCTACAGAGTGAGTTCCAGGACAGCCAGGGATACACAGAGAAACCTTGTCTCAAAAAAATAAAATAAAAACATTAAAAATAATAATAAAAATAAAAGTCACATTTTAGGAAATAACAATTTAGCCTCTCTTACCTGTATGAGTTCGAACATGTTGAACATAATTATTTTTTCTATCTGAAAAATAGTTGCACTTGCTACAGGTGTAGACCTTCCTGGGAAAATGGTTTCTCAGGTGCTTCCTCCAGTGGTACTCGCTGACTGTGGTGTACGTGCAGATGATACACTTGAAGACCCGCTCGTTACCCCCGGCTCTCAGATGGTGCTTCAGGTGTGCCGTGTAGTGATCGTACCGGTTGGTATTGTAGCCACAGCGATCACAGCGGATGGGGCCCTTGGAGAACTCGCCCTCTTCGGCCGGGGAGGACCCAGATTCCCTGGCTTTGGCCTGTTTCTCTGCACTTTCCTCCACGAAAAACTTCTTAGCGCTGTGAACCCGGATGTGATGTACGAACTGCTCTTCAGACTCGGCCTCGTACTGGCACGGCTTACAACGGAAGGGCTTGGCCTTCAAATTCCTGCATTTGTCCTCCGCCACGGGCGCTTCGGGAGCCGGATCTTTATTTGCGCTGTACACTTCTGGGGCGGCTGATGGTTCAAATACAGGCTGGGGTTCTACAGCACTTAGCTCCAGACTTCCCAGTTCCATGTTTTCCAGACCACTGGGGTCACCTTTTAGTTCAGCCGACTCTTCGAGGCCTTCTCCTTCGCTATCTGAAAAGTTGCTGTCTCCAACTGGCATCAATTCGGCCATCTGTCTCTCTTCACCAACCAGGTAGTCACAGCAGCTGCCGTTCACTTCCCCAGTCAAGGCCACGTTGGCTAACATGATCAGCTGAGGTGCAGCCAGTTCGGCTTTCGAGAGCTCGTGCAAGTCATACATGTCGTTGGGTAAGGCCATGCCCATGTTGCCACTGTTGTTGAAGAGACTTCCTCCCCCAGAAGACTGACCCATCACCTGGGTGGCCATAACTGTACGCTGGATAACGTGTAACAAAAGAAAAAAAAATTAAATAATACCCTCATTACCCAAAGCAAGTATCTTTCCTTCCAATGTAACCGTTAAAAATTCAACAAGCTTCATTAACTTCTAACAACAATGTTAAAATGATTTTCTGGTTGGGTATGGCGGTGTCTGCATGTTAATCTTAGCACTAGGTAGGCTTGGGCAAGGGTGCTGTTCATTTTCAATTCTCTTTACTGCAGTCACAAAAGCGTAGATGAGGAACTGTTCCTCCTACACCCAGAAAAAAAAAAATGCAATTCTTTGACCCATCAGGTCCACGCCGGTATGCAAGTGTGTCAACCTTCTTTCTGGTGGCTAAAATTTTTAATGTTAACTAAAATGACTTTTAATAACCAAAGGACTAAATAGTTAGCCATTGTCTTCTGACTTCTCTTTCAACAGTTCAGTGATCTGAATGAGAACTCAAAAAAAAAAAAGAAAGAAAAAAGAAAAAACCCACAGGCGATTCTGTGCCTCTAATGAGCACATGAAGAAATCTGGAAGACTTCATGAGAGTTCAACTAAATCTAAAAGTAAAAGAATAAGCTGAAAAAGTAACAGATTTTTTTTTGATGACTTAAAGGGGTGGTTACGGATCCCTTCTTCCCAAAAAGGGGAAGTTTTAAAGTCCTTCTTGTTGTTAGAAAACTCCCCTAAGAGTCGTGCTACTCAACACGTCAACCAACTTACGCGCATTGTGGTTGACTTGGCCTACTTGCCTAGAGGAAGCCATTACAGATCACCTTCTTGAAAACAAGTTGAGTTTTTAAATGATCTATCTCAATCTCCAGCCTCAAAGGTAGTAGTCTCCAACTCAGTGTACCCCTTGCAAATTATTAAAGGCAAGATATGCAAACAAAATAAAGTACTAAAAGACAACCTGAAACCGAAAATAAGGAAAGCGGGCCGCTTCACCTAGAGTCTAAACACAAGCTCGCTCAGTTACATGCCCCAACAAAAAGTTGAACCCGAATGCCATCACAGGAAACAGCTCTCCCCTGGTTCAACAGCCCCACGGATTCCACAACGGACCTCAACATCCACTCTAAAGGTCCCCCACGCACCTCAGTCACCACCCTCCAAGCAATCTCCACGTTTCTCGGGCAGACCGTGCAAGCACAGCCCGAGAGCAACGTGTTGCACGGAATTCCTATGTGCCGCTGCCACCAGCGCCGGCCTCGGCGGCGGCATTCCTAACTGAAATAGGCATTCGGCCATTTTCTCAAAATACCAAACACAAAGCAGCTCTTTGCAAACTTGGGCCCTCTTGCTTCCTCTCCGCCACCAACCCGCGGGCGGTGCCTGGGCTCTGTCCTCGCGCGCTGCCCACCACCCTAGAGGCGCCTCTCGGCCGGCCGCGGCCCCGCAGACCCCTCCCCCGCCGCCCGCACTAACCCGGGACCGGGCGGAAAGTTACCTCGCTACCGGCGTCCGATCGGGCCTGTACCGGGGCTCCGCGGCGCCCTCCCGAGGCTGCCGGCCCCCCGGTCCAGTCGAGGGGCCCCACGCGGGCCGCCGCCGCCCCCGCGCCCGGAAGTTTGCGAACTTCGCTCCCCCACCGCCCAGAGGCAGCGCGGGCCGCAGAAATCGCTGTCCAGCCCGCCGGCGGCGCCGCCCGTGCCCCGGGCTGAGTCAAGCGGGGCGGTCGCCTTCCGGCTCTGCTCGGACTGGGGGAGGGGGCGGCGAGCCTGGGACTCCGGCGGGGGCCGGGGGCGGTGGGCCCGAGGCGGATGGAGGGCGGAGGGGGAAGTTTCAGGACCGCGGCCACCAGCAGCGGCGCTCCGGCCTCCGCCGCCCCGAATCCCAACACCGTGCGGAAGAGCCGCCCCGTACTCGGCTAGGGACCAGTGCCCACGCCGCTCCGCACCAGCCCCCGGCCCAGCCCGTGACTCGCTCCGTAACTCGATCCCGCCCCCGTTCGTCCGCCCGCCCGCCCGCCCGCCCGAGCCACAGTATCTGCAGATCAGCCCTGGACAGCGCCTCGCGCCTGCCCGCCGCCCTCCCCCTGTCGTCCTCCCGGGTCCGCGGCGTCCTACCCTCTTAGCTGCGCGGCCACGGACCGCCGCCCCCGCGTCGCCGCCGCTGCTCCAACTCCTTTTCTTTGTTGCTGGACTTTCGGGGGAGGGGAGGGAGAGCGGGGAAAAAAAGTTGGGCGTCGAGGCCCTCGCGACCCGGTGTGCGATCGCGGAGCGGGATCAGACCGCCGGCCCTGGTCCTGCGGTCGCTGCGCTCCCGGCCGCCCGGGTCTGGGGCCCGCGGCCTCGGCGGCGCTCGGTCTGCTGCTGCTGCGCCGCGAGCTCGCGGGAGCCGCACATTCCAGCACAGGACGCTGCGCCGCGCTCCCGGCCCGCGCCGCCGCCGCCGCCCGCCCGCCGGACACGCCCCCTCGCCGTCCGCGCGCGCCCGCCGACACGCCCCCTTC